GGGATGCAGTTTGGGACAAGGCCGGGCAGTGGGTCAGAGGCACTTTATATAGGGCTTGGGGACTTGGAGACCCGGCGGGGTGGCTGGCCCCGGGGAGCCACTGGTTGTTGAGCAAGAGACAACTTGCTCAATATCATCTGTATCGATTCCTCTCTTCCTTCATTGGTTCATTTATTTTTTTATTTTTATTCTTTAAAGATTTTATTTATTTATTTATTTGAGAGAGAGAGAGAGAGAGAGAGAGAGAGAGAGAAACAGCATGAGAAGGGAGAGGGTCAGAGGGAGAAGGAGGCTCCCCGCTGAGCTGGGAGCCTGATGTGGGACTCGATCCCAGGACCCTGGGATCATGACCTGAGCCGAAGGCAGACGCTTAACGACTGAGCCACCCAGGCGCCCCTTCATTGGTTCATTTATAAAACATGTACTAGGGTGCCTTCTCTGGCCATGCCTTTGCTGGGACTGGTGATACAGAAATACCAGTCGCACTCGGTCCTCAAGAGGCTCCAAGGCTCACCAGGAGAATGCATATTCATGCCTTCATATCCATGTATATTCATAATGGCCCCGAAGCCCCACTGGTGCGAGGAGAGCTTTGGTGTACTGGGGGCAATGGAGGTGGGTGAGAGATCTGGAAAAGTTCCATAGAGTCAGGGTCTGAACTGAGTCTTGGGGGGGCCAGTAGAGGATGCCAGGCCCACTGGACTGGAGATAAAAAAGAAGATTCTAGGCAGACGGGAATAGCATGAGCCACCGCCTGCAGGCTTGATCCAACCTCTTGGATTCAGGCGATGGCTAGTTAGTTTGGGTGTTCAGTAAGACCGCACTGGGGAGCATGGCCTGAATGGAGAGGGCAGTGAGGAGCTGGGAGCAGGGGTGTCGGGAGGCGTGACAGAGGCAGGTCACACGACACAGGCAGGTCACCCCACTCAGGGTAGAAGACAAAATACAGAGAACTCCAGGGGGACAGAGAGACCTGGCAGGCGATGATGAAGGTCAGAACAGAGGGGATGCATGAAAGGAAAAGACAGCCAAGTATGCACCCATCCATCCATCTAGAAAATGTTTGCTGAGCACCTGTTGTATGTCAGGGACTGTGCTGGGCACCGGAGGTGGAACCAGTGGGCTTGCTCACTGATTGGGTAGGTGGCTGGGGCGTCAGCTGGTGAGCGTGGAATGAAGACAAAGGACAGTAGAATTAGGAGGTGGGCGATGGACACTTTGAGCTCAAGGAGCATTCCTCCAGACACTGTGATTGGGGACGGGGGAGGTGGCGAGGAGCAGGGCTGGAAGAAAATAAATGTATTTCCGATGGGGGAGTAGAAAGGACTAATTGCGTGTATGGTGCTTTGCTGGTCTTTTCATTTAATAGTGTTCCCATTTGTCCGGATGAGGAAACTGAGCCCCAGAGACTTCATCACTTGTCCCCTTAGTGTAGGGGTGGGCAAACATTTTCTGGAAAGTGCTAGGTAGGAAGTATTTCCAGCTTTGGGGACCATACCTCTCTGTCAACCAGACTCAAGTCTGCCATTGTGGTGGAAAAGGCAGCCGTATTCAGTAGCAAAAGTGAATGAGTACGGCTGTGTGCTAATAAAACTGCATGAGTGTTGGGATTTGAATTTCTTATAATTTTTACGTGTCAGGAAATCGTCTTCTTCTTTTGCTGTATTTTTTTTAATATTCAAAAATGTAAAAACCATGCTTAGTTCCAGGTTGTCCCAAAACAGCTGTTGGCCTGTGGGCTTAGTTTGGCCACGCCTGGTTGGGAGGTGGTAGAGCTGGGTTTCCAACTTGGATCTGCAAGTCTGTGGACCTCCTCCTCCAAGTGCTGTGCCCACCTCCGCCTCCTTCCCATGGGCTCTGCTCAGTCTGTCCCGTGGTCCAGTCATCCGGGATGCCCATGGGCACTCTGCTCCCAGGCAGCTAGTCTTGGGGGGGAGGCAGGGTGAGTAGGTTGTGCGTTCTGGAAGGGGGCCCCTGCCCCACCAGCTGGGAAGACCCGAAACTCTCCGGGCCTCAGTTCCCGCATCTGTAAAGTGGGGCTTAGCAGAGAACCCACTGTTGGGCTCACTGTGAGGCCACCGTGAGAGTAGGCCCGGAGACGTGCCTTTTCCCTTGGTGGTCTCGGTTTCCCTCCTCCGCCCCTGGTCTCCAAGCCTGGTCTCCTCTGCTCCGCACCTCTGCCTCTGCCTCCCCCATTGGCAGCCCCGTCCTTCACGCCGAGAACAACACCCCAGGTGTCTCCCAGCGGCCTCCAGCGCCAAAGGGTTCTCGAAAACTTTTAAAAATGAGGCTCCCTCGGGGCCGGCAGGGCGGTCAGGAGGGGGCGCCCCTGGGGGAGCTTCCCCGGCGGGTGGTGGCAGTGGCTGCTCCTGGCCTTTCAAAGGAAGATCTGTGGCGGATTATTATGGAAATCAGGCCCGAGCAGCGTGCCCGTTGGCGCGGGAGCCGGGAGCCCGGGGTGAGCGCCTGCTGGTGGCTGGGGGAGGTGGGCTGGGGTGTCCCCAGTCCTCACCACGCCCCTGCCCCAAGTGTAAGCGTGCCCTATCCTCGCCCTGGGCGGGGGTGGGGGGTGGTGCGAGGGAGCCTGGGTGGTGCTGTTCCCTCGCAGGGCTGATGGGCAGAGTTGCAGCTGGAGGGTCTGGGCCTTGAGGCGCTGGGGACTGGGGCCTGCGGTGCTGGTTATTTTCAGTCCAAAGGGAGGAAAAGGCTGTGGGGCCACCGCCCTCCCTGTGGGAGTAGAATGGGGCATAACAAATCCCTCTTATTCAGGGTGCACTTCGCACCCAGCACCCCACTCTGCTCAGCGCACTGTGGCTGTTAACCTATTTAAAATTTTTCCATTGATGTGGCCGTTATCACTCCCATTTTATAGACGAGAAGATAGAGACCCGAAGAGGCAAAACTCATAGGGCAAAGACCTGAGAAATCTGAACCTGAGGCTGCTACCACCTGTGGCCAGTTCTCACACCCTTGGTCCTCCTGTCTCCAGCTGGAGGATGGGCCACTTGAACTTCCAGGGGCGCCTTCCCGCCCTGAACTCCCCACACCTCTTCAGAGGGGGACTCTGCAGATGGGGAGACAGACGCTCTGCCTATGTGTGGGGCAGAGCTGAGGGTGAGGGGTCGGTAGTGCTGAGATCCCCAGTTCCTGCCTATGCCCTGTGCCCTGTGCCATGACCAGAGGGTTTGAGGTGAGCCGGGAGGACACGCTCCTCTCCCCCTGCCAACCGTAGGTGCACAAAATCCCATCATTCCCCAAAATCCAATTCCTTTATATGTTTCACATTCTGGAGAAGGGAGACCATCTCGGCTTAAAAGTGTTGGGGAAATAAAAGTAGGAAAGTCAGATGGATTTGGCCACTCCGTAAGCCAGAAAAATGACCCTAGTTAGAAAGGCAGGCAACAGCCTTGGAAAAATCACTGTAGCAAACAAGAGCTGCTAACGAGGCCAAGAAACCCACAGGTACACGGGCAAAGGGCAGGAGCCGACAATTCACACCAGCAAGGAAACACAGGGGCTTAACCATCCCGTGGAAAGAAATCCATTCCCACTCAGAGACATGAAAGGCATGCAAACTTTAATAAATGTAATTCCATTCAAATTAACCAATATTTTAAAACATGAAGTTATTTATTTATTTATTTATTTTTTAAAAGATTTTATTTATTTGACAGACACAGCGAGAGAGGGAACACAAGCAGGGGGAGTGGGAGAGGGAGAAGCAGGCTTCTGCGGAGCAGGGAGCCCGATGCGGGGCTTGATCCCAGGACCCTGGGATCATGACCTGAGCCGAAGGCAGACGCTTAACCATCTGCGCCACCCAGGCGCCCAACATGAAGTTATTTAATACACTGCTGAATCAAACTCTCTTTAACTGAACTCTAGTGTCACGCCTTCCAGAGCTCTGCAGATGTTAGCTGCTCTCAGTCCTTACAATGGCCCCAATTCACAGAGGAGGAAACTGAGGCTAAGAGCGGTTAATTATGTAATTTGCCCCTGGTTACACAGCTGCAGAGTAACTGAGCAGAATCCCGTCACACTGCCAAGCAGGGGCGTTTAGCCCTAGGCCAGTGGTTCTCAAAGGGCGGTCCCAGGTCAGAGGCATCAGTATTACCTGGGGACTTTGTACAAATGCTGGTGTCCAGGCCTCACCTCAGAGTTACCGGATCAGACTCTGGGGGTGGGGCCCAGCTCTCTGCATTTTAACAAGTCCTCCAGGTGATTCTGATGCTAAGATTCAAGAATTAGTGCTCTAGGCTCCGGGCTCCAGGTGAGCATTCAGCAGTGGATTCTTGCTCCTGTTACAAAAGATAAGTTAGACTGGCCCAACCCTTTTGAAATACGAATGGATAGCAGGTGTTCTGAGCCAGTAAATGGCCAGTAATTGCACTCCTGAGAAGCCCTATGGACAAGGTTTTAATCCTGACGCTATTTTATTTATTTTTTAAAAAGATTTTATTTATTTATTTGAGAGAGAGAGAGAGAGCACATGAGGGGGGGGAGGGTCAGAGGGAGAAGCAGACTCCCTGCTGAGCAGGGAGCCCGATGCGGGATTCGATCCCGGGACTCCAGGATCATGACCCGAGCGGAAGGCAGTCGCTTAACCAACTGAGCCACCCAGGCGATTTTAGACAATGTATTTATATATGTGCAAAACTGGAAACAATGTAAGTCTCCAACAATAGGGGATTAGGGGAGAAAAACTTGGACTCATCTACTAGATGGTCTTTGGTCATTGAGAAATGAGTTTGTGAAGAATGGACAACATGGCACAGTGAGGGTAAACGACGTGTTCTGGTTTGCCCAGGATGTTCTCAGTTTTAGCTCTGACAGTCCTGTATTCTAGGAAACCCACTGGCCCCGAGAAATGAGGACAGTTGGCCATCCTAGTTGTAACTGGGACTAGTTCTGCAGTCCAAGTATTTCTGTTCTCTCTTCTCAAAGGGCAGGTGGCAGGATGGTCTTTCTTTTTCCTCTTGAAGTTAGGTGGCTAAGTGACTTGAAATGTGAGCCAAAGTGATGTGTCATATCCAGACAATGCTCCTGACAGCCTGTGTGGGGATGACACCTCCTCAGCCCGGGGTTCCTGAGTGACTGATAAGCAGAGGTCCCTGGCCACCAACCCCGCGCCCCTGCACTGGGCAGACAGTGTGAGCCAGGCATAAACTCTTGTGTGTGAAGCCACTGATATTTTCGGGTTATTTGTTACCACGGCATAACCTAGCCTGTCCTGACTGCTACACGTGGGGGAATATGAATTCCACGGTGTTAGGAAGACACATGTTACAGACTTGTATATGCCACAGCATTGCACAGATGTAACACATAAAGCTTACAGGTGTGCTGGGAATAATCAGAGGTTTTTATATTAATCAGCTAGAGGAATTCTTGAGCTTTTTTCTTCCTGATCATTGCATGATCCAACTTTTCTATAATGAGCGTGTTTTATTATTTTTTTAATAGGGGACATTTTATTCAAAAAATACTTTCTTTGGGTCAGAGCAGGGTCCTCTCTGGGCTCTTATTCATTAAATGAAAATCTGGAGGAGGAAGAGAGGGGAATTAAGCTTTCGCTTCAAAGGATCAAAGGGACTGTTAAGGTCAAGGAGTTAATCCTCTCTGGCATCTGCAAACTCCCTGCTGGCTTCCAGGTCCTCTTGGCCTCAACTGCCCAGTGGAAACAAGTTGAGCAGATGCTACTTCCTGGCCCTGTGACTCTGGGCAAGTCACAACCTCACTGAGGCTCCACATCCTCATCTGTTAGATGGGAATAGCCCTGTCAACCTCTCGGGCTACTAAGAGAAGCAAACGAGAGAAAGCATGCTCAGTACATGTTGGTACCTTCTGCCTGCCTCTGTCTTCCTCGTGGAGCTTCCGTGGTGGGGCGCCCCTTGGACATGTCCCTTAAGCTCTGTGAGCCTCAGTTCCCTCATGAGAAAGGAGAAGGATGATGTTACAGGCCTCCCTGGCATCCCTGGATGAGGCTGGAAGTCCCTGGGCAGAAGCTGAGAGACGGGGGGGGGGGGGGGGGGGGAGGGGGCTTGGGGAGTTTGGAGTCCAGCGGCAGAGCTAAAGCTTATACCCTCCCTTGAGACTTCCAGCCGCCAACCACAAGACCTGTACACCAAAAGCCACAACTGTGAGCACTTAAGATCAGGACAAAAGCAGGTGCTGGGTCTCCTTTGGAGGTTTGGGGCTAGCACACCTGTTTTCTGACATCTCTGGAGTCTTGAAGGGGCTGGGGTGGTTAGGTAGGACTTCCTGTAGGAGGAGGGCTTCAGCTGGTCTTGGAAGGATGGTGTGGGCAGCCCCAGGCACCTGTGGGGGTACCCTTGCTCTTGGCCTTGTAAGGAACCCCTATCAAGAATATAAGAGTGGCAGCTAACATCTGTGGAGGGCATATTGTGGATTTGGCTCCCTGTCCTTGTGATTAGCCCACACACTGGCACTGGGGCAGGACTTGGGGAAACTCACGAAGGGGAAGAGTTCCAGGGCATTGGGTGGTGGTAGAGGCCCGGGGCCCAGTGTGTTCTGGATAGAACCTCAGCCCTTTGCTTCTCTAGGATTTAGCAGCCATAGGTCACATCCCTTCTGGCCCACAGGGCCACCTGGATGTCCCCAGGTGGACTCCTGTGGATGTGACCAGTCTTTTGGGTGAGCACATGTCTCGGGGTACCTGGGGCAGCCTGGTTTACTCCTCCTGTGCCGGCATCCCCTCTAACCCAGCATTCTAGTATTCTCTGATGGGTCCCACTTTGGATGCTGATTTTGTGGCCGCTCTAAATCTACATGGTCTCAAGCCGGGCAGCCTTGGTTCCATGCTGGCGCAGGCCCTCCTGTCTGGGCCATGTGGCCCTGGGAAGTGGGGATCTATAAAGTGGGGACGATGGTGCTCATGCGGCGAGCGCTGGGAGGTGGGCAGTCAGTGTGTTGGCAGAGGTCCCAGCGCTGTAGCTAGTGTTCCGTGAGCGGTGGCCCCGGCCATGAGCTACTGATGCTCCGCATGGTGGGGTGGCTGGGTGTCTGGGTCAAATCTGGAGCATCGGGTCTTTGTGGGCTGCTTTTGAGCGCCAACTAAACTCATAGGAGGATATAAAGGGAGACCTCTGTAAATACTGCCCTCGAGGGCAAAGGTGATGGAGGCCTTAGCTCCTGCTTTGCGCGGTGGGTGCAGGAGATGCCTGTCAAGCCTCTTGGCTCTCCCTGCCCCCCCATACCCATGTTGCTCCTATCCAACCTCTGCCTGTCCCTTACCCCTTTCCTCCAGCTCCCATGCTGCCCTGCGCCTCCTTAATCCATCCCCACAAGCGGCCTCTGGCCACTCTCGAAGTGAGCTCCTCCCTGGCTCCCGGTCTCCAGGGTCTGTGGGTCCCCTCTATGCCCACTGGGCACTTCGCTGCTCTCCAAGGGGCCACGCCACTGTGCTTGGGGCTCTGCGCATTTCCCTGGGCAGTCCCTCCAATCAGGACCGTCCCCTCCTCACTGTCTGGCAGGTGTCCCACCCTATCCCTACCGGCCCTTCTCCCCTGTCCCTTACTGCAGGCCCCAGTGCTTTGCCCCTCAAGGAGGGCATTTGTTCCTCTTTTCTCTTCCCCGCCTCTGGCCTCAGCCTCTGACGCATCCATGTTTCTCCCGGAGTCCAGTGCTGGCCTGGAACCAGGTATCAGAAGAGCATGTTCTCCCCCAAGGAGGCCCGGTGGAATCTGGCTTTTCTCCTGGACGGAAGTTGGATTTTAGGAAGAGGAGGCTGTGCTCACAGCTGCCTAGAAGAAGCCAAATGGGGGGGGGGGGGGGGGGGGGGTGGGGGGTGGGAAGGGCTGTTGGTGGGGATTGGTCCTCTCTGGTGACTGTGGGTCCAGAGAGGGTCTGCCACTTGTCTGAGATCATGCAGAAATTTGGGGCAAGGCCAGGACTTTGACCTAGATGTGTCTTACTTCTTCAGCCATTCTGGGGAGGTCTGGCAGGGTGGGGGGCGTGCAGGCTGGAGGAATGGCTGGGTCTCTGCTGCCTCTGGACATTGGGGGAGGTGGGCCTTTCATCGAGGGGAAGGAGGGGTTCGAAGCTTGCAGCTAGGGTGGGAGGAGACCTGTCTTTGATTCTTTGGTGCTCATACTTTTTGGACCCCTGGGGAATGCCTGAGTCATCGCTGAGCCAGCAAACATATTTAGCTTCTTTCATTGTCCCTAATAAATCAATTTCTCCAGGTCTCTCACACCTGCCGCTCAACTCCTGGCTGCCCGCACCCCATCATCTCCTGCCTGCTGGCATCTGGGCCAGTGCTCCCACTCCCCAGGCACGGGGCAGATGCCCCCCCTTGCCTCCCGGAGCCCCCTTGCTCTTTCCTCCTCCATCCCAGGGCATCCTGTGCCAAGCCTGTCCTCCCTTGTTCTGGGATGGCCTCTGTTCAGCAGCCACGTTCCTGGATCCCCAGTCAGAGCATCATGACAAGGGGCACCGTGGTCTCAGAGACCGGAGGCATTATTGTGCCTGAAGCTCAGCCCCTGCCAGGGCCCAGCCTCCCTCAAACTCTTGGCCTGCTGAGACTTGTGTTTGGGGCCCAAGGGAATCCCAGAAGTACCTGGCCTTGTCATGCTTCCTTGTCCTAGCTCCTCCTGGCCCCATTGGCTGGAAGAGCCTCCACTTAGTTTATCTTTCACGGGCACCTCTTCCAAGAAGGCTTCCCAGATCTTCAACTCTCCTGACCCCACGACTCTTTCCTCCTCCTATGGCCCCAGCCTGTTTTGTACCATGAAAACATGTGCATGGTTTCCTTTGTAATGAGAATGATAGCACTTAACATAACTCTGAGTAGGTACCCAACACCGTTCTATTTTGAACATACTGAATTATTCCCATTTTATAGATGGGAAATCTGAAGCTCAGATCGCTTAGGAAACGTGCTTAAGACACAGGGTAGAGTTAAGCCTTGAACCCAGGCCCTCCGGGTGGCTCTCACTACTGCCCCCCTGTGGCTCTTCACAGTGAGTGGCTCTCATGGCACCTTTTCTATCCACTCCGCCACTCCTCCCTGCCCCCCACCCCGCCCCAGTGCACCCTCCAAACAGTCTCAATTCACCCCAGGGCAGGGGCTGTGTTGGGCCCATGTCTGGGACCCCCTTGCACAGGGAAGTCCGCATTAAAGGTCGTGTCGGGGAAGTCACCTGGCTCAATCCTTCAAGGAGGAAGATCGCATCTAGAGGGGGTAGGCCGCTAGTGCAGGGTCCCAGGGCCAGAAAAGTGAGAGAGCCAGGGTGTCTGGCTCCTGGGCTGAGCAGGGGGCCTTGTGCTTGGCAGGAGGGGAGAGCGCAGGCCCGTGCTCATCGGTGCCTGTGAAGGCTGCTTGAGCCTGCAGATCAGCTGCTTCCCCTTCTGGGATGCCCAGGCCCAAGCTCTACTCTAGGCAGCTTCGCCTCCCGCAAAGGGCAGCTCTCAGGCCTCCCGGCTGCCTACACGGTGGCAACTCTCATTCATGTGTGGTGGGAGCCCCCTGCTGCCCACAATGAGGAGTGGCGGGCCGGTGGGGAGGTGGGCAGAGGGCCACCCTGGGGAGCGGCAAGGGGCCTGGGCCAGCAAGTCCGAGCCCACTGGTCCTTCCCGACTGTGATGTGGCCCTGGCTGTCCGCCTCTTTGGCCAATCCCCCGACCCGCAGCCGCACCAACTTTCTCCTAGTTCCCTGTGTCTCTACACACCTGCACCCGCTGAGGCTGAGGCCCAGAGGGCCTTTTCAGTGGGTTTCATCCTAAGCAAGAATTATTGAGCACTGAGTAGGGACAGGCTGGCCTGGGAGGAGTTCGCAGTTGGGGTGTGTGTGTGTGTGTGTGTGTGTGTGTGTGTGTGTGTGTCGGGGGTGGGTGCAGCAGACACGAGGTAAGCTCACTGCAAGATCAGGTGTGTGTCTTTCCCCCGACCTGGCTGCCAACAAACACTCATGCACAGCTCCTTTGAGAAGCCTCTCTGCCCAGCCCAGCCCTCCACTGGCCCCCGTGCCCCCGGGCCATAACAGCGCGGGTTGGTCTAGGCTGTCCCTGCCCCTTCGCACCTGTTTTCCCCAGCAGCCCCCAGCTCCCTTTGAGGGCCACGGCTTGATCTCCATCATCTTTGGATGCCTGGTTCCGTGCATGGAGCCTGGTACGCTGTAGGCGCTAGGGCCGGAGCAAAGAACGTATGGAGAGACTGATCGATCGGTTTGGCACCTTCAGTCCTCAAGGAGCAGCTCAATGGTGGAATCTCAGGCAGGGGCCCGGGGGAGGGTGTGGAGGCCACTTCATCGCCCTACATCCAGAGGGTGCTGCCTAGAACCCTGGAATGCAGGCTTGCCAGATTGTAAGCCCCATGTGGGCTTGTCCCCCCAGTGCCTGGACCACTGTAGCTACTTAAACATTGTGGAAAGTACCAATAAGTGAAGGTTACTGAATCCCAGCTTGGGAACCCTCCTCCTCCTCCCCAGTGACTGCTGGGGTCAGCCTGTGCTTGTGTCCTTCCGGGGCCAGGCTGGGCACCTGCCTTCCGAGGCAGCCGCTCACTCTCTCTTCGGCCAGCACTGCCTGTTGGGAAATTCTTTTGCCTTTCCCTGGCCTTGACAGGGCCACTTCTCCCCTGCCCCTGCTCTGAGGGGACCGCCATCGTAAATCCAGCCTCCGGGGACATCTGCCTGGGTGGCAGCCATGTTGCCCTGAGGATGAGGGTCCAGGGCCCTCTGAAGGCCCACTCTTCTCTGGTCCTCCTGCCTTCAGCTGGGAAAGGAACGAGAGTGAAGGGCCTGAAAGGGGGGGGGGCGTCAGGGACAGCAGGTATGGTCACAGAGAGGACAGACCCCACTCCCGAGATGTATCATGAGCTTTATTCTGTCTTCTGATTTCCAGGACAGCCACTCATGCCTGCAAAACACTGCTTCCACCCTCTCAACGATGGGGGAGGAAGCTGAGGGCCAGAGAGGGAAAGGGGGGCGGGGGGGCGAAGGCCACACAGCCAGCGTGTGCCAGTTGCGGGAGAGGACCTAGGAGCCCATGACCCTCAGCCCAGTGCTCCTTCCATGACTGCTGTCCCTTCAGGGGCCTAAGGAGGTGGCAGTGGTGGCATCCAGTTCCCAGGCTGACGTGGGGTCTGTGGAAGTCCTCAGATGTCCCCTCACAAGACAGCTACTTTGTCCATGACCCCATGAAAGGTGTGCATGTGTCAGTGGGGTTGGAGGGGAGGACAGACTGCCTCCCCTCCCCTGGGGAGCCCACCTCGCTCTGGCTCGCCCACTCAGGCTGGTGGTGGGGCAGACGCGACCGCATCTCCTGTTTCCTGCCAGGGAACGGCCCTCCAGGGACTCCCCCAGGGCCTGTGTGAGGGGCTGAGAAGGGCTTCTGAGAAGGAGCCTGTTCAAGGAATCCTCCTCCAGGCTGGGGCCTCCCTGAAGGCAGAGCTGCTTGCGTGTGTGCTGGGAAGTCAGCTCAACCCTTGATGTGCTACCGCGGGTCTCAGGATGCCCGGACCCTGCTGGGGCAGCCCCTCAGCACCACAGGACCCCTGGTCAGCGGTCAGCAGAGAAGCTAGGACTGAGGCTCTGCCGCCAGCTTCTATGTCATTCAGTGGCATGGGCGCCGCCTCCAGGCCGCCCTCCTGGTCACCACGGTTCCCAAAGCTCTCTCTCCTTGGCTTCGCAGCTGTGCCACCAGCCCTGCGGGCATACACCTGTCAGGGATGCTCTCTGCCATTTTCTTGAGGAGTGCCACCTGCCCCTCCTCCAAAATGGACATCCTTGCAATTGGAGCCCACTCTGCTCTTGGCTTCCCTGCAGCCTTCGGTCGGAAGCCCAGCAGCTCAGGCATCAAGTGCAGACATCTCCAGCCAGAAGCTCCTCAGGTGGATCCAGTACAGTCTTGTCCTTCTGCCGAAAGGGAGCGGTCCGTGAGGAGGGAGGTGGCAGTTGGGGCACCGCTGGGATCCGCACTGGGGCTGTTACCGTTGCTGGGGGCGAGGGGGCACAGACACCGAAGGCACCAGGACGTTTCTATCCAAACCCCACAGTTTTCCAAGAACCAGAGGAGCGTGACTTGGCAGAGGACACACGGCGATTTGGAGACGGAGTGGGATGGCGTCTGCAGGCGCTGGGCTCCTAGTCCAGTGCTCCTGGCATCGCCCGGCGGTCTGGTCTGTGGGTCTGGGCTGTGTGTGTGGGTCCCTCAGGCAGGGACGGCCAAGCCCCGGCCGAAGACCGGGGAGGAGCTGGCTGAGAGCCCCCTGAGCAGAAGGAGGAGGCATGACCACGGCCAAGGGCGGGAAGCACTCAGGACCCGCACGCTCCTCCACCCTCGAGGGCCGACAGCATTTCAGAGTCCAGATGTTTCACCGAAGAGGAGACCGAGGCCCAAAGGGAGGACAGGGTGCTGGGTTCTGGGGCTGCTTTCCTCGCTCCTTGCTGCAGTGACGTGGGGGCAGGGGGCGGGGGCCTTTCCTGGCCGTGGCCGGGTGCCGAGGGCCAGGGGCCCTAAGTGCCACCTCTGAGCCCGTGAGGCTTCCCACCCACCCTCCTGAGCCCTGCCCCCCCACTCCTGGTAGCTCAAAGTCATGGGGGCGGGGGCAATGTCTATGGGCCAGAAAAGGGTGCCCTGGGGTGGGACGTAAGTCTCCAGGTACCTCAGGTCATGGGGTCCCCGTGACGCCTGGACCCCCCCGGCACCACCTCCCAGGAAGCTCAGTGCTTGTTGGCAATCTTCTTCTTCCGAGCAGAGACCAGGTCATAGAAGGGGACGCGGGTGATGCTGGCTCTGAAATGAGAGCAGGTGAAAAGATCGCAGGGCTGGGCTGGCTGCCAAGGGGCTCCCAGCTCCCAGGGTTTGTAGCAGGGGTGTGGGTCTCCCAGGGAGGGGACGGCCTGCCGGGTTTGCAGGAGAAAGGCCAGATGGCCCCACCAAGGACCAGGTTATGGTGAGTCAGCCTTGCCCGGAGTCCCACAGGCTGGGCGGGAGAGGGTGAGGCTGACAGCGCACAGCCTTGGGAATTCTGCCCCCCTCCCCCAGTTTTCCGGACCCCTCTTCAGACTCCCGGAAGGAGGTGGAAGGAGCCCAGATGGAGCCAGCAGGCCTGCTTGTCCCCCACTGGCTGTGTGCCGGGGCAGGTCCCTCCCCCGGGGCGGCGGGGGGCTCGGGGCCTCATCTGTAAAATGGAGGTCAGAGTGGGTTTGGCCTGGCCACTTCACAGGACTGCTGCACCGCTTGAGGGGAAAGAACCCACAAATCCCTGGGATACAGCCCCTCCCGGCCCGGCGACCACTCGGTGTCTTCCTCTGGCTGACAGGACCCACCATCCCCCATATCTCCCCATTGGCTCTTGCCCCTCACCTGACTCCCTCCACTGCCCATCCTGGCACCTCAAAATCCTCCCCTACACCATGGCCTTCTTCACCTGGCCACACCCCTTCTCTGTTTACCAGTCTCCCCGGTGCCCCCAGGAGAAACCCCCGCACTAGTTGCCATGGTGACTAAGGACTTGCTCTCCCACTGCCCGGTCCCTGCAGAGCCAGGCCCCCCGCACTGCCCGGCACCAGGCCCCCCAGGACACCAGGCTGCTGTCCAGGGAGGCCCTGCACTGACCTGCCCCCTCGTCTTTGCCGTTACTGGTCCTTCCCCCTAGAGAGCCCTTCCCTTCCTCTCTACCAGGTCTTTCCGGGGCCCTTCTGGATCCTGGTGCCAACGAGAGCGCCATTCAAGAGCACTGACCACGGGCCAGGCACTGGGCAGAGAGCATCTCGCAGGATCGTCCCACCAGCCCATGAAGTTGGGGCCTCGCTCCCGTGTCCTGGGGCCTGGCTACAGAATCTGGGCGGCAAGGATTTGCATGCCAGAGACAGAAGGGAGATTCCGGATTTAGCCCCTTTTGCGGACAAGGAGACAAGGCCCAGGGAAAAGCAGGGGCCTCTGGAAGGGACAGGAGGCCCAGCCGGCCCTTACCGGATGGCCTCAATCCACTGGTCGCGCTCGTCGGCGCTGGACGCAGAGATGCGATAAGACTCGTGCTTGCCCTCCACCACCTTGCCCTCGCCGTCCGTCTTACATGCCTTGATCTTCTGGCCCCGGCAGCTGGGGTTGTACAGCTCCAGGCAGAACTGCGGGGAGGTGGCTGGGTGAGGGCTGGGCAGGGGTGGGAGGAGAGGGCAGCCGGGCCGGGCTTTCCTGGGCATTCAGAGAGGACTAGCCACTTGGGGCTGGGACCGACAGCAGGACACACCCCACCCCGGGCCGGCTTCCCGTGCGGGGCCAAGGGGAAGGAGCTGCTCCTCCTCACGTTGAGAACCTACTATGTGCAAGGCCTGACCTAAATCCACCATTTCCCCTAAAACCCGCAGCTGACTGCCGGGGAAACAGGCTCAGAAAGGAGCAGAGACTTACTCAAGGTCATTGGCCAGTGTCAGAGGCAGGCTCTGAAAGACAATGAGACCATGCCCTTTTGATGCCATTGACCTGCCCCCAGGACCCACGGCCTCGGGAGGGAAACTGAGGCAACCCTAAGCCCCACCGAAGGCCTCCTGGAGGGCCCAGGCCAGCCGCCCCCTCGCCTCCCTCTCCATTTCAGAAATTCCCCCAGCGGCTGGGGCTCTCAGGACCCCACCGCGCCACCTACTGGCTTCTTGGGGTCGTCCACCTTCTGCACGGAGAGGTTCTCCAGAGGTATGATTCCCCGTGGCTCCTTGTCCTGCAGAAGGGGCCGGAGAAGGCCAGGATCAGCAAATGCAGCCTTGACACCCAGGGCAGGGAGTGAACTTGTGGGGCTCCCCAAACCCATAGAGGAGTGCACTCATCTCCCCAGACTCTGTCCAGCCTTGGAGGGGGAGGGGAGCAGCGAACGGAGAGCCTGGGCACAGAGTTAGGAGGCTGCACTGTAAGCTTGGCCCCGCCCCTCCCCCCTCCTTGCCCCTCAGTCCCCCCCCCC